TTTCGATAATGTTTTGAGATGCTACGGAATAACCCACATTCCTGAAAGACAACAATACGGAATCGTTCTCCCATTAGCTAGTGAAGGTGACCTACGTAAGTACATGAGGAACTATTTTCCATTAGGATGGAAACTAAGATTACGTATATTGCAGGGTATTATCAATGGCCTAAAGGTGGGTAAGCAATCTAAGAGACAGAATTTGCAAAATAATAATAATATTATTATTATTTTTTACAAGGGTATTCACGATTTAAACTTCGTACATGCCAACCTTCACCCAGGAAATGTGGTAATTAACGTTGATATGGGAGGTAATTGTTTAATGTCGTACTTCTATCATTCAATTTCATCACAATATTTTTGCTAATTTTAATATCTATAGAAACAAAAGCATACCTTATAGACTTCGGAATGAGCAGACGCAGTGGCGCGAGTTCACAAGAAGTTGATAAGAATATGCCGTTCATGGCGCCTGAAATCATTAAAGGGCAGGGATACACTAAGGCGGGAGACATTTACAGTTTTAGTATGCTAATGTACAAAATTTCTTCTGGAAATTCTCCGTTTAAACATAGAAGCTCTGATGTGCATTTAGCACTCGATATTTGTAACGGGTTACGTCCTCCTCTTGACCGGGAAACTCCAAAATGCTATGCCGATCTCATGAGTCGTTGTTGGGATACTGATTCTTTGAAACGACCTACTATTAAAGAATTAAAAAAATACATCGACTCTTGGTATAATAACGAAAGAAGCACCTTTTCTTAAATTGAATCACGACCTACAGTATATATACAGTATATATACAGTATATTTATATATAATTCAATGCTATTTATATAATTTATTTATTTATTTTTATATATAATTCAATGTTATTTATATAATATATTTTTATTAAACATCTTGTAAATTTTTTTAATAATATAATTCTTTTAAATTATTCTTTATATTTTAATTTTGATAAAAATTTTTTGTATTCTTAATATACAGTATATAGTATATAATGCAATGCAAAATTTTTTATGTAATATAAATATAAGTAATTTTTAAAACAAAAGCAATTTATGTAAAATTTTAATTATGTAAGCAATATATTCTTAAAACTTTGATTTATTATTTTTTTTTATAAACAAAATTTCATAATGTTATTTTTTAGAAAAAATATATATAATGACAAACTATATTATATTTGTAAAATAATATAATTACTTTTGCAAATAAAATATATTTCAAATTGATATAAATATACTGTATTAAAAAACTATTACAATTTTAAAAAATTAAACTCCAAAGGTAATAATTCAAGAAAATCAGATAAAAATCATTTTAAAAAAATTATTTCACATATATTAAAAGCAAATTAGTCAATATTTATATTATAATTTAAAAATTTTTATAAAAATTTTGACAAATAAATTATTAAATATTAATATCAAATATTATATTTAACTATTTTAAAACATTAATAAAATGAATTATAAAAATAATTTACTTGTAAAGCTATTTATACTTACTATTACACATATAGTAAAATTGAATTCAATATTTTTTAAAAATTATTATTATTATTTTTTTTTTCCATAGTCAAACAAGTGCATATGTTTATTAAATCTTTACAGAAAACAATTAATGTATAATACATTATATTGCATAAACTATTCTACTATCTTGAATACCCATCTTAAACTATATCTCTAGATATGACTTTGAAGATGAAAAAAGTTGCTATCTTGACCTTCTATTCACCTTTGGAATTTGAAAGTAAGAATTATCGCCCGCAGTTTATTACTATGATTCATTTGAACAAAATCTAGACTACTTGTTATATTTCCAAATATTTCCTTCCTTCTTTAATCCACCTCCAAATCATTATTTCACTTTGGTCTTGATTTTGATTCGGTTCTTCATTTGTGACTTCTTTTTGACTTGCAGAATTCTTTGCTTTGTATTTTTCTTGTTTTTCTGATTTTGTCTTTTTCCCTTTTCTGGCTTTCATGTGATTGCTTTTCTGATGTTTCTTTATTTCTGGCTTTTCTCCTGAATATTGTAGCCTGAAGCATCTGTCATTTCATATTCTCTTTCTGACTAGCTTGCATACTGATCTCGAAAACTTGCACAGTAGAAATTTTGCTTTGCTATTTTTAACTTTTAATTTTGCTTTAGCTGAAGTCCATTCCGTGATATCTTCTTTTTGAAATAGTCCTAGGCTGAAGTTTATAATATCTTTTTCTTGTAAGAACTTATTTGTATATCAGTTCACTAGTAACGTACTAATATGGATTCATGAGTCCTGGTTTTTTTTCTCCTGAATCTTTTCTAATCATTTATTCATCATCTGATCTTGGATTTTATTCCAGATTTCCTTCCAGATTTTCAGAATATCAGAATATAAAAGGAGATGTTCAAGGGATTCTTTTTCCTTTCTACATTATATACAGTTCCTTAGGTTCTTATATTTCTTGGAGAAGCATCTATTCATATTGTCCAGAGTTGAAAATTCATTGTGCATCATTTTCACTCGAAAGAATTTCTCTCTAGTTTTCTTCACTGATGTTTCTAGAGCACCTCCTATTCTGTTTATCTCCCATAATTCTCTTCAAT